TAAAAGGAAAAAATATTTAAAACAAATTTTTTTTCAACGTTTTTATTTATTTTTGGGACAGAGAGAGACAGAGCATGAACGGGGGAGGGGCAGAGAGAGAGGGAGACACAGAATCGGAAACAGGCTCCAGGCTCCGAGCCATCAGCCCAGAGCCCGACGCGGGGCTCGAACTCACGGACCGCGAGATCGTGACCTGGCTGAAGTCGGACGCTTAACCGACTGCGCCACCCAGGGGCCCCAGGAAAAAATATTTTTAAAGAATCAGTTTTATCACTAACAAACAACCATCATTAATTTTTAGGACAAAATTCCAACAATGATGAAGATATAATCACATTAGTATCTTGAATTGTCCTCAAAAATGCATGTAATTTTACTACTTATATTCATATACATTCATATATGTCTGTACATATAGGCATTTTTTTCTTTCAGAGAGCATTGAGGACCAGAATTTGATTCAGTGGGGAGTAATTTTGAAATCAGACTTCTTTAGTCTTCCTGATAACCAATAAATGCATTTACTTTATTCAGTTCCTCTGTTCTTTAGGAACGGGGAGATTTAAACCATGTCCTTAATTCTTTGTATTTCCTCACCTGCTTTTTATCAGCAATTTAATGGAAGCATATTTTTTACTTCCTGGTTGTCCTCTTGTGTTTCCTGGAAAGTTACCAAATCTAAAATGGCTTCCATTCCAAAAGCATCTTCCACTCGAAAAGCCAAAAAATTCTAGAATCATGATCTCTTTCATCCCTTCTGTATCTTGGGCTTTCATTAGGCTCACCTCTGTCCATTTTCCAAGATCAGATATTTCATTCTATTTCCTCCTGAGGCAAACATTTATTACCTTTGTTCCTCTGATCATTTTCCCTTGTTGGATTTAATGGGCTCTCTTGTTTTATTTACCATATTTTTAAAGTGAATGATGCTGATCCCTTGTTACTTGTTCCTCACACCAGGGATGTATTGTTGAGTGAAATCCTACTCTTTTAATAATCAAAGTAGGACTATAGTGATGAGTTAAGAATGCTTTGCTTTCTTTCCAGCATATGAGTTTTACCGTTAGCCATGGTTATCTCTTTTCCACCGGTATAGGGGATACAGTCGAAAAGCTAAATTTTCTAAAATCTGGTGATTCTCCCCTGGGTTTTTCGGAGTTTTTTCCACTCTTAATTCCAGACGTTTTTGGAGGGGCCCTTCTAGGAACAACGTTCTCTTGACGGACTGCTAGGAGCTTATGTTCCCATTTTGCTTAATCACGATCATCTTTTTTAACCAGGATTCACAGTTTACTTATTATGTGAAGATTTAGCTCAAGTTTTGCTGGGAGACTGAAGGATTATCTACTTAATCTGATTACACTTAACCGGAAGGCATCAGAACTGAATTTCAGAACTTTCAGTTACTCTGAGTAGCTGGGACAAGTGGAATATAGGAAGGTCCTTCCATGTTCATTCTGTTAACAGATATCTATGGAACTTTATGTGCTGGGTACTGTTCACCTATGAATAGGAGAGACATGACCCCTGCTCTCAAGGAAGTCACCATCTTGTGGGAAAGATGAACAGATATGTGTTGCAATATACGGTGTTAGCATCTGTGACTGGGGCAGGCCCAGTGTTAGAGGAGCACAGACACGTGGGGAATGACAGAGAAAGGACACATGTACTAAGACTTGAGGGAATAGAGAAGCACCTGGGGAGGCTCAGTTGGTTAAGCGTCCAACTCTTGATTTCAGCTCACATAATGATCTCATGGTTTGTGAGATCGAGCCCCTGGTCAGGCTCTGTGCTGACAGCTCGGAGCCTGCCTTGGATTTTCTCTCTCTCCCTTTGTCTCTCTCTGCCCCTTCCTCTCTCTCTCTCTCTCAAAATAAATATATAAACATTAAAAAGAAAAAGACTTGAGGGAATAGAAAAGGTAAGCAGAGACGAGGGTATTCTAGAAGGAGAAACGAACTGAAAAAAAGAGGCATGATAAGGGAGGTTTAGGGAACTGCACGCATTTGATAATAACTGGTGATGGCGTATGCACACTGGGGTGTGGACGGGTCCGGGGGATATGGGAGAACATGCAATCCAATCAGGAGTAGTTTGTGCGCCATGCTAAAGAGTTTGCACATTATCCTGGAGATGCTGAGAATTCCTGAAGAATTTTAAGCAGAAGTGTAATGGTCAGATTTGTGATCTAAAAGGAGCGTTTTCACAGTGGGACAGGCCGACGTGGCTCAGAATGTCCATTTCACATGTATAGAGGGGGTTTGTCACAGAAGCTAAGCCTCCCACCAGCGAGAGTCAGAGAGTCTGGCACAGCCCAACACCTGAACATTTACCTCTTTTTCTCCTTCTTCGTCCTTCTTCTTACCCACCCAGTCTCCCTCTTCTCTTAAATTTTCTCTTAGGAAGCCCTTAACACTTCAACGGTTTGCAGGTGGTCTTCTTAAAATGTCAGTAAAAATACCCTAGTTTAGTTGTGAATGTCTTGGCTTTTCTCGAAGGTTAATGTTAAATTACTTACTGGCTGAATTTCCCTTCATGGAATGCTTAAAGTTCCCGCTTTCCCTTTTGCCACCTGAAATTCTTTATCATTATCCATTCTTACCATCAAAATAAGGGAGGGGGTAAAATAGAAATTCAAGTAAATTGATTTTACTATTGACTTGTGGTCCTTGGAGAGAGTTTATCAGTAGAATATAAAAGCCAGAGTGACCTTAATGTTTTTCATAATGTCTTTTTAACCGTAGGTTATGACCCATTGGTAGGTCATGAAATCAATTTAACAGGTCATAACATGCACTTTAAGAAAAGAAAGAAACAGAACCTAACCTAATAGAGTAGAAAATATCAGCGTGCCCTGAATATACTGAGTTGATACTGTTATATGAAACTTATGGTTCAGTTATAGGCATATATGTTCATTCACGCAGATAGCATAAACTATGCATCTTACAATGGGTGGTCGTCAAAAAAATTAAATTTTTAAAAATAAAAAACAGCACACAAAAAGTTTGAAAAACACTGCCTAAGATCAACATTTTTTCCACTCTGAAGATGGAAAAAGTTGAGAAACAGAAGTTGACTTGTCCAAGTCAATGAATTAGTGACTACTGCAAGATTTGAACTCGGTCTCCTGATAGTTTGACATTCTCTGCCTAGCATGATTGCCTAATATGAGGACTGGAGTTTGAAGACTTCATGTACTTAAATACCCTTGGGACTATATTGCAAAAGACAATCAAATGTTCACAATGCTTTGTAAAATTCTTTCTTGTGGACACCTTTGATAGATGTTCATATTTATATACCGAATGAAGATAATCTAGTTCTCACTGTTTCTCAGCTGAATGGCTGAATAATTATTTAGGTCTTTTCTTTCATATTCCTTCACCATCCTGAAAAATAAACATTTCAGGACATTTAGAGTCATTTTTCACCTAAAATCAGGGAAGCATTAGGTATACCTAAAGGCTCCTGTAGCCTTATATGGTTCTACTGATTTAATCTTTCTAATGGATCTGTCTAGATTTTTACTTCTTTTTTCCAAGAAATTAAATTCCTTTTTTTTCTTCACACAGTATTCTATGGCTTAATTTCAGGAAGGCATTGAGGCACAGCAAAGAACACTAAATTAGGAATCAAGAGACCTGAGTCCTGGTCCCTCTTGTCACTCAGTTTATTGTTTGAATTTTAGCAGATCCCATAACATCTTTGGACTTTGGTTTCTTTCTTTTCTTTTCTTTCTTTCTTTCTTTCTTTCTTTCTTTCTTTCTTTCTTTCTTTCCTTCCTTCCTTCCTTCCTTCCTTCCTTCCTTCCTTCCTTTCTTTCTCTTAGAAAGACCATGCAGGGGGCACCTGGGTGGCGCAGTCGGTTAAGCGTCCGACTTCAGCCAGGTCACGATCTCGCGGTCCGTGAGTTGGAGCCCCGCGTCAGGCTCTGGGCTGATGGCTCAGAGCCTGGAGCCTGTTTCCGATTCTGTGTCTCCCTCTCTCTCTGCCCCTCCCCCGTTCATGCTCTGTCTCTCTCTGTCCCAAAAATAAATAAACGTTGAAAAAAAAAAAAAGAAAGAAAGACCATGCAAGTGGGGAAGAAGGGCAGAGAGAGAAAGGGAGAGAGAGAGAATCTTAAGCAGGCTCCACGCTCAGTGCAAAGCCAAATGCAGGGCTCAATCCCATGACTCTGGGATCATGACCTGAGCTGAAATCAAGAGTCAGATGTTCAACCAACTGAGCCACCCGGGTGCCCCTGGTTTCTTCACTTGAACATGGATCTAGATTACCTATGAGTTCCTATAATCAATTAGCATTTCCCAATCATGTGGAAGTTATGGATTTATTTTCATATGAAAGAAACTATTGCCTAGGAATTTGCGTATGAATATATAGAGACATGTTGTTGTGTAAAATTGTATGGAGTTCCTGGATTTTTATAACCCACTTATAGATTCACAGTTTTAAAAACCTGCTTTAAATAACGTCCTGTGTATCATACAACATGCCCGATTCTCTATGTTTCCTTTTTTGAACTTCCTAAGGAATTTCCAACGGTGTTTCCTTCCTATTTCCTTAATGATATCCTCCAGAGTTCAAGGACTTCCAGGGCTGGCTGGAAACCTGAGCAAGCTAGACCAACCACGTCATTTCCTTGCAGTCTGTCACCTTCACTTAATAAGTCTTATTTGTCCATTCAGTAACTAATAGTGTTTTCACTTTGAATGGTGACATGAACACCACCACCTTAAAATCCATTTCCTGTACAGGAACCCTTTATTCACTCATTCTACAAATATTTACTGAGCGCCTTCTTGAGTCAGGGACTGGGTTCCATGTTGAGGATATAATGGAGAATAAGATCGACAAATGCCATTTCCTCAAGAGGCTTACATTCTACTGGAGAGACTGATTAAACATAAAAGCTATCGAAGAAATTCATGAAATTACTTCAAGTTCAATGAAGTGTGGACCTTGAGGCCAGGCTGACAGGTCTGGAGTCCCACTTCATTACTTACTATTTGTATGTATCAGCCCCCCATCTGTGCACTACTTCAGAACCCCTAGCCTCACTCATTTCCAGGGTCTTTGACAGTGAAGGGAAGGAAAGCCTTTTTTCCCCTCTACCTTCCTAGGTTCACCAACCAAGCCCTCCAATGAAACTGATAAGAAACAGATGAACAAGAGAGAGAGAGAGAGAGAGAAGGCTATATGCATATACATGCATATACATTTTGCTTCAACAAAATGAAAACTCAAGGAGGCAGCTAGATGAATGAGGCTTTATATATGATCTTAGGCTAAACAAAAGAAAAGAGGTTTGAGCTTCTAGGCGGGAGAGGCATGTTTTGGAAAGGGGAAGGCAGAAAATATATAGTAAATAAGGGTTGCCTTGCTCTGCAGATAAGAGTCTCTCAGGTGAGTTGTCTCTGGGTGTAGATCTGTCTCTCCCTGGTGAGAGACATCTTTACCAATGGCAATTTCCTTTTTTAAATGTAAATTTTCCTTTACAAAAGGGGAAAATTGTACTCCATTTTAGGTAGTAAGGGGAGCTGAAGAGCTTTTCCTACATATGCTGGTCCTCAATTGCATTTAGCTCAAACTAATCCCTATGACAAAGAGGCACCTTTGGGGGTGGCATATTCTGATACCTTTCATTCTGCCCATTGAAACTTACTTTTCAGGAAGCAGCATTCCTGTGGAAACCAAAAGAAAACCAAAAATGAATGAATGAAGCAAATTCTAAATCCAATTTTGGGGATCAGATGGAAGTCAGTCAAAAAGACTCCTGGAGGCTGGGATCAAAACCTCTTTAGACGGCGGGGTGAAGATGGCTGTGATAATCCAGCTTCCAGCTTTCCTGGTTTGCGGTTTGAATGTCTTTAGTGATGGCTGGTGCACCGGTGTCACAGACGTGGTTAGTTTTCAGGGCAGAGCACGGAAGCATCCGTCATTTGCTTACAGAGCCCTTTGGATGGTCTTAATAAGGATCTGTGAGGTCAGGTTTTCATTCTCAGTGGTGCCAAGGCAGAAGGGTGAGAGAAAAATGGGAAATGTTAATTGTTGACAAAATGTACGAAGTGGCAGGAGCCAATTTACAAAGAGGTGAGAAAGTTCAAAGGGAGCAAACATAGCCAGAATTCAACAACCCACAAGGATGTGCTATAGTTTTTCATCGAAACATAGAACTTTTCTCTCTACAGTCACTCTAATTTCTATCAAAGACAATCAAAGTAAAGACTAACTTGCAAAATAAATCTAGTCTCATTAAACTTGGCCTGATTATTTGCATAAGCACAGCAAAAATAGTAATTGATCTTTTAGGCTCTTTTAAGTCTGCGCTGCTGGCACTTTAAATAACTCAGATGAGACTTTTAAAAGCCTCCTGAGGGTAGGAAGCCACGCCAAGGACTTGCCATCAGTCTTTACCTGTAGTGCCTTTAGGTTTGAGTGAATTCCTTCTTTCTTGAGGTTTCCAATATATTGTAATGTTCCTGGGCCTGCCTCAAAGTGATCTTCCTTACTCACCTAGAAGGCCAGGAACCCTGTAAGCCGGGTATCAGGTAGACATCCCACGAGGACTTTGTAAGCATTGGCTCCCTACAAGTCAAAATTAGTTCCTTTAAACTGTCTGGTCATAGGGGCACCGGGCTGGCTCAGTCGGAGGAGCATGTGACTCTTGATCTCAGAGTCATGAATTCAAGCCCCATGTTGGGTGTAGTGATAACTTAAATAAGTAAAACGTAAATTAAAAAAAAAATGTCTGGTCTTATCTGATTGTATGCACACCGTTCTCAAATGTGACATTCCAGTCAAACCCTTGGTAACATAACCAAAGTTTCAAATTGTGTTATGTTTACAAGGAAAACAGATTCTTATTAAACTTACGCAAATAATTGTGTTACCATGAAAATAAGAGTACTCGATAAGAGTTTCCAAATTCTGGAAGGATCAGAGAGGTCAAAAAGGAGGGGTTTCACAAAGGTTTCACAAAGGTATACTTTAACACGTTGCTGTAAGTTATTGATAAGAGAGAAGAGAAAAAAGATTCTTTAAATCTGGAAAGTGAAACATTAAAGAACCAGCGATATTTCAAACAAAAGGGCCATAAAAATTATAATCATCTTCAGTGTATTCAGTTCCATGAATTAATTCTTGTTTTGCTTGATTTGGGATTAACAATTTTATGAATTCATCACTTTGTCCATTGGAGTTTCGTGAATCTCTACCCAGTCTGGTGGCATGCTATGAAAGTTATCAGAAACCTGTATTTCAGATTACTTACCAGAGTTTTCCCCATGAATCTACTTGAAGATACGCACGTTCACCTTTAGTTGACTGCAAATGCTTTCCGAAAGACTAAAAGTAAAACATTAATTGTATGTGGATGACAAAATAAAATCTGATGAAAGTTCATTATGGGATAATTGACAAGTAAAGTTTGTTATTTCTGTGGCATACAACATTTTGTAATTACTGGAATTATGACTGATAACATGGGTACTGAAAAATTTCTAGAAACCTTACATGATTTCTGAATAATGTGCATTAAAACATCTGTCCACACAAACATAACTAAAGGAGGGTAAGACTCACTTCTTAGGGGCTCCTGGGTGGCTCAGTCTATTGAGAGTCTGACTCTCGGTTTTGGCTCAGGTCATGACCTTGCAGTTTCATGAGTCAGAGCCCCACTGCGCTGGCCGTGCGGAGCCTGCTTGGGATTTTCTCTTTCTCCCTCTCTGCACCTCCCCTACTTACTCTGTCTCTCTTAAAATAAATAATCTTAAAAAAAAAAAAAAAAAAGTAAAGACCATCAGGCAGAAAGCAAATTCTTGCTCAGCCTTTAAAAAGAGAGAGGGATGGGGGCACCTGGGTGGCTCAGTCGGCTAAGTGTCTGACTCTCAGTTTCGGCTCAGGTCATGGTCTCATAATTTCATGAGTTCGAGCCTCACATTGGGCTCTGTGTCAACAGTGCAGAGCCTACTTGGGATTCTCTCTCTCACCCACTCTCTCTGTCCCTCCCTGTCTCACACTGTCTCTGTCCCTCTCAAAATAAATAAATAAATAAATAAATAAATAAATAAATAAATACAATTTTAAAAGAATAAATAAATAAGTAAACAAATAAATAAGAAAAAGGGGGGAGAGGATGCACCTGGGTGGCTCAGTCGGTTAGGCATCTGGGGCTCAGGTCATGATCTCATGGTTCTTGAGTTTGAGCCCCATATTGGGCTCTGTGATGACAGTTTAGAGCTGGAACCTGCTTTAGATTGTATCTCCCTCTCTCTCTGCCCCTCCCTGCTCTCTCTCTCTCTCTCTCTCTCTCTCTCTAAAAAATAAATAAACATTAAAAAAGAAAAGAAATAAAAAAGAGTCACTTCTTATTTGACAATGCTTCCCATGCAGTTTAACATACCAACTAAACCTAATTGGCTTAATATCTCTCTTTCACAAAGTAAGAGAACAAATCCTTTGAAATTTTCCAAGTGACCTCTACAGAGTCTCAAAGTTGTCTTCAGGTTAAAAAAAAAAACCAAAAACCAAAAAACAAAACAAAAAACCCCACCCCATTTAGAATTGTGGGAAATTTGATTTGGGGAGATTTGTCTGAAATGCCAAAAGATTTGTACATCTGACTAAATACAATCACAGGTCACTATGAAACGATACTTAGTTATGTATGTAACCAAAGTGACAATAAAAGATTTCAAAGCAAATGTAGAATGTCACATGACTAAAAAAAACCTTAGCACTTTCAACATTAAGAAGTCTCAGTTGGGGGCGCCTGGGTGGCTCAGTCGGTTGAGCATTCGACTTCGGCTCAGGTCATGATCTCGCAGTTTGTGAGTTCGAGCCCCGCATCGGGCTCTGTGCTGACCGCTCAGAGCCTGGAGCCTGGAGCCTGCTTCGGATTCTGTGTCTCCCTCTCTCTCTCTGCCCCTCCCCTGCTCATGCTCTGTCTCTCTCTGTCTCAAAAATAAATAAAACATTAAAAAAATTAAAAAAAAAAAGTCTCAGTTGTCCTAAGAAATCAAAGACAAGATAAAGACAACACAAAGCACAGGAAATTATTGTGTTAAGACACAGAATCTGTTTGTTAGGCAAACTACTTAATAGGTGAGAAAAACCTTTTAGCATATCTTTTAAACAACAGACCAGTAATGTGAACTCCAGTCTTGTATCAGCACATTATTGATATTAAAATTCACTTAAAATCTTATGATAAATAACATTTAATTTTAGATAGCTTGACCACATGAGACAAAATTTTTCTCTTTCTTATTATAACTTCCTATATCTATCTACATTTTTGTCCTTTATTTTCCTCTGTCTCATCTGAAACAAACTTTAACCTTAAACTACTGTAGGACAAAATCACTCTCCTTTTTCTTACAAAAAGTCATCTTTCATCTCTCATATCTTGTGTAACAAAAAAATGCCTTATTCTGAGGCGCCTGGGTGGCTCAGTCAGCTGAGCGTCCGACTTCGGCTCAGGTCATGATCTCACGGTTTGTGAGTTTGAGCCCTGCATCGGGCTCTGCGCTGACAGCTCAGAGCCTGGAGCCTGTTTTGGATTCTGTGTCTCCCTCTCTCTCTGCTCCCCGCTTGTGCTCTGTCTCTCTCTCTCAAAAATAAATAAACATTAAAAAAAAAATTTTGTTTTTCTTGAAGAATTTGCACACAGAACTTTTTCCTTCATCCTTATTATTCCTAGTAGTTTATTTACATATATTGACTAGAATTTTTAATCCTTGGTAACCTTAATTTCTAGTGAAAGCAAGGAAGCAATTGTGAATTGCACATTACATATGCTAGCATTCGGTAGCAAATTAGCAAATTTATGAATACACCAATTGTATACTTTTTAGAGACCTGTGTTTCCTCACAGCACAATTTTTCTAAGAGGTAAAAGAATGCGTTTACTAACAGACCCAAATATCTGTTCTGTCTGTAATAAGAGGCCAAAGGTAGATAACCTGGTGTTGAGCAATTAATGTTGCAGTATTTTATCTTATTTCAAAATGACCTACCTTTTCAATGAATATACATCGTTTAATTTAGCTTAGTATTACATTAAAGTTTTAAATTACTGACAAGATTTGGAAAAGTATTTTTAAGCAGAAAGCCTCATTTATAAATTTTATTCCACTTCAATTTAACTCATGTATTCTTAACAATTATGCTTGGACTATTCATGAAAATTTCATGAGACGTTAAATAAATCAGCCATCATCTAAAGTTATTTTCTTGTTAAGGAATTTCATAACATATGCATGTTAGGCAAATATTAAAAACTCACAGAAGTAAAGAAACTAAGAGTTAAGCATATGCCTTAGCATGAATTTATAATTTTATAATCTTAACTGGTAAAGATAACTTAAGCTTATTTGACAAGGAAACCCAGGTGGAAGAAAATTGTATGTGTGCATTACATTTAATGCTGACAGCTCGTAGGACATAATGACTTTTATTTAAGTAACAATATTAAATAGCCTATTTTTTTTTTTAATTTTTTTTTTCAACGTTTATTTATTTTTGGGACAGAGAGAGACAGAGCATGAACGGGGGAGGGGCAGAGAGAGAGGGAGACACAGAATCGGAAACAGGCTCCAGGCTCCGGGCCATCAGCCCAGAGCCCGACGCGGGGCTCGAACTCACGGACCGCGAGATCGTGACCTGGCTGAAGTCGGGCGCTTAACCGACTGCGCCACCCAGGCGCCCCTAAATAGCCTATTTTATCAAAGATTATCCAAGCTCATATGGACTTGCAAAAAAAAAAAACAAAAACCGCATTTGGGTTCGTTCTTATTTTTCTGGCAGTTTTAGGAATACTTAATTTATATAAGTGCTTATTTCTTTCTGAATCACTTAAAGCAGAGCTCTTTTCTGAATTTTGGCAATATCATCCTGAGGTAGGAAACCACTCCACATACAAAATATGCACATGGGGACATACATAAACATTCAGACAGGTACAAATAGGGATCTTATAGCATTCATTTGAAAATTGTACCCATGAGTCAGATACAGTAATACAAAACTCACTCGTTTATAGAAAATAGTTGGATCCAAATTATGTTTTTGGTAGATGGATCAAGTTAACAGTTACCTGCTCAGTCATGGCTAAAACTTTTTACCAATATTTGTGGGGAAGACTTTTAAGATTTTCATTTGCCCTTAATAAATAATCTCATAAAGCTTGTATACTAAATTGTGGGCAAAGGGCCCTTTAAAAAGATCAAGGACAGTTTGTTTCCAAAAAGTCTCTATTTAAAATTTTATTATGTTTTTCAGCCCTAAGCGGTTGTAGGTGGTTGCTTTAGCCAAATGTTATCTATCTTATTGGATGTTTACATTTTAGGAAGATAGTAAGGTTTCCATTTCCAAGGGACAGAGAAAAGGATGTAAGTTTTCTCTCAGAAAGAGTTTAAAGGCATATTTGCTCAAATCTGGGGCATTTACTATTTATGTTTAAAATTTTTAGTTTAAATATAGGACAGTCCAATGAATTATTCGTCATCGAAGTCCAAAATACATTCACGTAGGGCACTGAATGGGAAGGTCTGGAGCTTGGGGACTTCATTCAAGCTGTTTCTTGGCTGTCAGTATTTACACTGGTCTCACAAAATATTTTGCAATTCTCTTTTTTTAATTTTTAATGTTTATTTATTTTTAAGAGGGGGGAGGGGCAGACACTATTTAGCAATTCTTAACTTTTGTTTTCAGTCTGTTCTCCATCTCCTAATCTCGTTTGTTTGTTTTCATAGGCCAGCTAAGGCACTCCTTTTTTCCTTTGAGTCTGTTCTTCCCGTAGGTTCCAATTAGATAGTTGTTTCAGGAAAAGAGCTCTCTTTAAAAAAAATGCTAAAGTCCGTGTGTGACAAACCCACAGCTAACGCCACACTAAATGATGAAAACCTGAAAAATTTTCCTCTAGGATCAGGAACAAGACAAAAATGCCCACTCTAGCAACTTTTATTCAACATAGTACTGGAATCTCTAACAAGAGCAAGTAGGCAGGAAAAAGAAATAAAAGGCATACGAGATTGGAAAACGAGTAAAAATGTCTCTATGTGTGGATGACATGGTATTATACATAGAAAACCCTAAAGACTGAGGGGAAAACACTATTAGAGCTAATAAACAAATCCAGTAACATTGTGGGATACAAAATCAACATGCAAAAGTCACTTGGGTTTCTTTACAGTAATAATGAAGTATCAGAGAGAAAAATTTGAAAAGCAACCCGAGTTACAATCGCATCAAAAGGAATAAAACCCTAGGAATAAATTTAATCAACGAGACGAAAAACTCGTTAACTAAAAAGTATTAAGACATTGCTGAAAGAAATGGAAAAC